ACGATCTGATCTTTGAAAGTTAAATCTCCAAACCTTACATCAAATTAATTCAAAAAATTTGTACCATCCATAATCTTGATCAGTCGAACCTCATAAAGAAAATATCTTTATTTTTCTAATTCAATCACCGTCGAAATTCTCCGCTAACAAATTTCCCCCCGAAAATGTGTATTTCGATATACTTGGAGAAATATAGATTTTTTGCAAGATATCTGTATTTTGACGGAAAAACATCCTTCATAACAAACATTTACTTGTGTGACGTCAGGAACAATCATGATTCCATTTTTCCAAAATATCTAATCAAGACGTGCGTGATGCAGTTACATCATTGCTGCTAAAAGCAGATTCCCAATGTGGCTTTTCAAAAGGCAACCTTATTCATTAACCTATCCAATTCCACCACGTGTCCCACTAACTCTAGAATTTAAAAATATAAATTGAACCGATTCTAGATATAAATATCTTCTTCTTCTTCTTCAAAACACTTTTTCATTTTCTTGACTTCTGATTTTCAGAGAAACTTACGCAACTTTCAGTTTTCTTTCTCAAAAGACTTCAACAATCTAAACTCTCAACAATGGCACAAACCAAGAAAAGCATAAAATCCAACAAGATTGTGAAGAATATGGAATCGAAAAACACCAACGATGTCATATTTTAACCAATTCATCATATCACCAAACCGCTGCTTGTTGGAAATCAAGAACTTGTTCTAACACCTCATGTTTCTGCAGAACAACAAGCTATTTATGCTTCCCAAGTAATTATCCATTTCACCCTTGCTGATAAAACCCTAGGGTATATGGGTCCTATGTTATCCTCTGAATGTTGAGAACAAATTAGGGAAATTTTCCCAGTTTATCATGATACGAAAAAGAAGGATAATAATCCTGATAAAAATCCCGCAGAATCGTCTTTGGAAAAGATTCAAAAAGAACCTCCCTCAATTCCCATAATTTACAACAAAGCCTTTCAATTTGATAATGTGACTGAGAAATTTAGACCTTCAAGGTTTTCCCCTGTAGTGGATAAACAATATCTTTCTTGGCTAGCCAAAGTCAAAAAGAAAAAGTCCCAAGCTTGGAAAGACTTATGCATTTTCGACTTGATTCAAGTGTCGAAAATAGGTTTTAGTTACTACCAACCTATGTTGATGGCCTCATTATACTTCTGGGATAGTACTTATAACTACTTCTATCTCCCTTTTGGGATGGTAACTCCCATTTTCTTTGACGTGGCTGCCATCACTGGACTTCCACCAACTAGAGAAACTTTCGACCCTTACCAACAAGAAGATAATACCATTGACTTCAAAGTCAAAAATGCCGCCTTCACCAAATACATAAGTCTTTACCATGTTCAAGGAGACGAAGTATCTGATGACGAGCATATAGCTTGTCTTGCTCTATGGTTATCCAGGTGTATCTTTTGCTGCAAATCTCTACAAGTTTCCAAAAGATTTCTCACCTTAGCGAACCAACTTCATTCTGGTCGAAGAGTATGCTTCAGTGAGTTAATTCCAATTGGATTATATGAAAGCCTTTGATCTGCCACATCCAAACTCAAAGGATACAAGGCAGGCACGAACTTACTGCTAGCTGGCCCATATTGGCTTCTTCAATTGTGGCTCAATGCAATGTTTGAACCATCTCTCACTACTTCTAGAACAGTGGACAAAAAAGATTCTGAAATTCAGAATCTAACCATTGAGGGAACTAGACTGCTTCGACTAACTCCCAACGATGATGCAAACAACTTCCAAGAGTGTTTTTACCAAGTATGTCATGATGTTTTCTAAACGCCATATCTTTAGTCCTTCGATGATTCCTTTTGCAAATAGGTCTCATGGCCCTGAGTGGTTCACTAGATCCCTTTCATGACATTTCACCTAAAGATACAGAAATTGTAGACATTTGAAATGCCTTTTTACTCCCTAGGTTGATTCTTTCGAGGATCATGCCTGTGAAAATCAACATTTGCATGCTTGCTTATCAACCAAATTTTGTGTCTCGACAATTTGGGCTTTGTCAACTGATCCGTAAACCTATCTTTGGAAGGAAACGTGAACTTTGCACATCAGGAAAGAAATTCTTTTTCCTAGACTTAAAAAAACATATGGCCTATCATGCTAACTTTGCAGAATTTAATCCCATTTCTTTCCAACCATCCTTATACTGCTCAAAGAGTTTTGACATTGGGTGGAAAGATATTTACTCAAAGGACATGTTCGACACCACTTTTCTCAGCCAGCATTTGACAAAAGCTTTTGCATGTATGCAAGATCTAACCCAAAAAAGTAAGCACACGAATATCAAGTAAATCTAGGCGTTTCAAAAGTACTTTGAAACAGTATATAATCCAATCAACCTTAGTCGAACCACTTTTGATGCAACAAAAGTTTTAAAAGAGAAATGTACCAAAATGCTTCCTCATTTAAACATCTTTGTTTGTGTCAAACCTGAAGACACATATGACTTATCCTTCAAACTTCAACGACCAAAATTCCCAAAATTGCCTAGCGCTGATTTTGTCCTTGCTTTTTATCCTCCTTACCCAAACTGGTTCGTTTGTAGGAATTATCTCAACTTTTTAAAATAAGAGTCTCAAGAACCTGCTAAACGAGTGATTTCGACTAAGCATACCTTGGACAGTTTCAAAGGTTTCCTTCACTATGAATTATCAATTATCTCCATTATTTCTCCGACACCTGAAGGTGTCGAACCAAAGGATCTTCTTGGTCCTTTCAATTGTCTTTGTTATTTCTTTTAAACCTGATACTAACCAATATTATCATGTACATTATTCTAGACGTCAAAAAGAAAACCCTCAAAAAAGAACAACTCATCTCGAAGAGAGGTTCAACTGAAGCTTCCAAACAAATCAACACTTCAACAAAAAGTGCTACTCCAAATACCAAAAATTCAAAGACATCAAAGGTATCATTTGAGATTTTGTCTGCTTCTTGCACTATATCACTTTTCTAACAGCATTATTTTTTCCAGGCTAGTCACTTACCTCCAAAATCTTCACACAAAAGAAAACCACCCACGATATTTCAGTGGAGGTTGAAGACGATGAGGACACTCCTCCCACTCCTTCACGGACTAAGAAAATAAAGAAGAAGAAAGTGAAAGCTCCATCACACAACTCAAATTATTCTATATGTATCATTATAAACTGTTACCTCTGCATGTAACTAGTTACATGCATAAAAAATAGTCCAAAAACTCTATTTTTTCACAGGTAATTGGTTACACTGAGTCTAGAATCCAAAAATCACCTATTTTATCATATTTTATCTTTTAGTCTTTCATACTCATCTTTATAGAATTTGGGGTATTATAAATTCACCGCTAATATTTTTAATCAATATATATATATATATATATATATATATATATATATATATATATATATATATATATATATATATATATATATATATATATATATATATATATATATATATATATATATATACTCCCTCCATTCCTATTTATAAGAAAATTTTAACTTTTTAGGTTCATTGAATAATTGATGTATCTAACCAATATATAGTCTAAATACATCATTTATTTAATAAATCTAAAAATTCAAAATTTTCTTTTAAAAGAGAATGAAGGGAGTATATATATATATATATATATATATATATATATATATATATATATATATATATATATATATATATATATATATATATATATATATATATATATATATATATATATATATATATATATATATATATATATATATATATATATATATATATGAGGCGTGATCAACAATAATAGTTATCTTATAGTTAGTAAAAAATCAAATAATAATTTGTATTTATAGATACTAAATGAGAATATTTATTAGTATATGAGGCGTGATCAACATTAATAGTTATCTTATTGTTAGTAAAAAATCAAATATTAATTTGTATTTATAGATACTAAATGAGAATATTTATTAGTATACGAGGCGTGATAAAAAATGATAATTATCTTATAGTTAGTAAAAAATCAAATAATAATTTGTATTTATAGATACTAAATGAGAATATTTATTAGTATATGAGGCGTGATAAAAAATGATAGTTATCTTATAGTTAGTAAAAAATCAAATAATAATTTGTATTTATAGATACTATATGAGAATATTTATTAGTATATAAGCCGTGATCAACCATGATATTAGTTAGATTTAATAACTTTTTAAATATATTTTGGTAAAAATCATTTTTAAAATATATGTTTTAGAAAATTCATGTGATTTTTACCGTGTTATAATTTTCCATAATGTATATTTATGTTATTAGATATCAAAACTAGTTTTTTAATTTATAAAAAATAATTTTACTATTTAAAATTTTTTATTTGATAACATTCTTAAAAATCTAATTTTTTATTAATGAATAATTTTTATAAATATTGTATCTTATATCATAAAATTACTTCTATAAAAAATAAGATACAAGATGTGGTAGTTTGAATTCTTTTAAATAGTTTTTGTATAACTGCATGCTTATGTTTTAAAAATATATAATTTTTTTAAAAAAAATGTATAAAATAAAAAATAAAATTTAATAAATTTTTATAAAACATTATTTTATGTATTTTAAAAATTACTTAAACATAAAATTATTTTAAATATATTTAGATAAAAATCATTTTTAAAATATATCTTTTAGAAAATTCATGTGATTTTGAACGTGCTATAATTTTCTTATAGTTATCTTAGTAAAAAATCAAATAATAATTTGTATTTATAGATATTAAATGAGAATATTTATTAATATATATATATATATATATATATATATATATATATATATATATATATATATATATATATATATATATATTTTAAATCTAATGGAAATGTCATAGTTGAAATATCGATTCTTTCTATTCATAAAGATAATTTTTGTTCAAAAAAATAAAAAGGAAATGAGAAATACCACTATGTTCATCACCAAAACCCATATTTTCTACGTTTCTTTTTTCATGCTCTCAATTTTCATAGCATGTACTACTGCCTCAACCACTCCATGCAGTGGTATTTATCTTTTTAATCAATCTTTGAATTATTGCGCGGTTGCGGATGCGATTACAATTGTAGTCGCTGTGGTTGCAGCTTGTGAGAGTTGCAATGTGGATTACAATCGTTGCGGCAGCACCACGAATTTGTTTTTTATCTATAAAAAAATAATATATTTTATTATTTATTTTATTTTTCACCGTATCTTTTATTTCTTCTCAAAATTTTCATATATTTTATTAACAATTACAATTCGCCATCATTTCGAATATCTCAAATATTTTTCAAACATATTTTAAATTTATGATATAAATAAGAAAAAAAATAGATCAAATAATTTTTTACAAACAATGCATATTGCATGCGGATGCGGACTGATGCAGTCCGATGCAGTCGTTGCGTTGTTATGATGTTGTGTTACAGTGTTATAATACAGTTTTTAGTGTGATTTATAATTGAAGTACCGCAATATTGTTGCCAGCGGTTCCCAATTTAAAACCATTCAAATATTACATTCGTTTAATTAACACACCTAATTCTTTTCATTGCAGGTTCTAGGTGCCTCATGTTTGTTGAATCTGATATAAGTATTCAGGCATCAAACCCTCCTGATTGCAAACATCGTTGTCTAAAATGTACTCCATGCGTAGCAGTTCTTGTTCAAGTGCCACCAATTGATTCGACAGAGTCCTATCCCGAAGCATGGAAATGTAAATGTGGCGGTGTATTATACCCTCCAAATGATATTTAGTTATTGTGTATTATACCCTCCAAATGATATTTAGTTATTGTTTCTGATTTAAATAATCCAAATAACATTTGTTTCTGATTTAAATAATCCAAATAACATTTGTTTCTGATAATGTTTTTCAGAAAATAATATATTATTTCAGATATATACAACCCATAATAATTCCATGCTTTTTTACTATATATTTTATTATATAGGTGTCAAAAATGGAAGTTCAACATAAGTAGTATTTAATTTATGTAGAATTAATTATCTTAAACAAAGATATCAAAGTCAAAAGATACAATTATATGACATAAATTAAAATATTGTAAAACAATAAATTACCTTATATCACTTAGTGATCCTAAAAAAAAAGTCTTTTGTTTCTATAAGTCTAATCAAATCTAGTGAAATTGTTATTATATATATAAGCGCATAAGTTTTTTTTATAGGTAAATGAATTTTATAACATAAAGTAGGTAGGGTATTCGCCCAATTACATCATTTAAGTTTATATTAAGAAAGTCTAAGGGATTTTGACTCCACAAATAAAAGGTATAACATACTTTGGACTTTAATCCGATATTGCATTCCAAGGTCAAGACAGTAATTTTACTTTATCCATAATTTCCTCTATATTTAATACTGTCGACTTGAATAATATTACATTCCTCATCCTTCATAAAACCCAATATATTGCTAACTAAATTAATAATTTCTTCCTCGAATACACTTTGCCAACCAACAAATTTCAAAAACACAAGTGCTCCATAACCCCTGTCGAGTTAACCGGTATTATAGAGTACTTTAGTATTTGTCATTTTTGGATATTCGCTTTTAGGGCCTATGTGACATTCTTATGTTTATTATTTTTGTGTATAAATAAGTGTACTATGTTTCATTTAACACAATCAATTCTCTTTCAATCATTTGTGCCAGCTTTATAGCATTTATCATTTTCTCTCTTCTTCCTCAATTTCATCCCCTTGCACCAACAAATTGGTATCTAGAGTTCTTGGTTTATTCTGAGATTCTGGGAAACACGAGTGATAGTGAGTTGTATATTTGATTTTTGGTTCCTGATTTCTGTTGAATCTTGAACAAAAATCTGAACAGAATCATACTGATTTTGTGGGTTTGGGAAACACTGAGTTAGAATCTGAGATCTGAGATTTGTGCAAGCTTTAAGATGAGTGGAGGCAGCAGTTTAAACACTAAACTTCTCGTTTTTGATGGCAAAGGCTGGAACAGATGGATGATACAAATGCGTGTGCTGTTTGGTGCTCAGGATGTTCTGGATCTTGTTATTGATGGTTATGTTCCAATTGCAGCAGATGCTACTGAAGAACAAAGATGTGCAGAAAGAGATACGAGGAAGAGGGATCAGAAAGCTCTGTTCTATATCCATCAGTGTGTGGGTGAAAGTGTGTTTGAGAAGATTGCTGATTCGACGACGTCGAAAGAGGCATGTGATATACTGGTCAGATGTTATGGTGGTGATGCGTCAGTAAAGAAGGTAAAGCTTCAGTCCCTGCGAAAGCAATATGAGAATTTCAACATGAAGAACAATGAGAAAGTTTATGAGTACATCTCCAGAATGATTCTGATCACTAATGAGATGAAAGCTTGTGGAGAAACACTTTCTGAACAGGTAATCATAGAGAAGATTCTGAGGTCACTTACTCCTCAGTTTGATTACATTGTTGTTTCTATTGAGCATTCTAAAAATCTGGAAACCATAAGAATAGAAGAGTTGCAAAGCAGTCTAGAAGCGCAGGAGTTGCGTTTGACTGAAAGAACTTTTGAGAGGGAAGTGGAGCAAGCTTTGAAGGCTTCTTATGTCAAGAAGAACCAGAAGCAGAATAGACATGGTGATAAATTCCAGAAGTCAGAAACCTCAACTTCTGATGAAAAGAAATATCATAAGGTAAAGGAAAGGTGTGACTAGAAGAAGGTTCAATGTTACTGTTGTAAATAGTTTGGCCATTTTGCCAGAGATTGTAGAAACAGATGAAGGAAATCAGAGGAAGCAAATATAGCCAGAGGAGATTCTGATGATTAACCTGTGCTACTGATGGCTTCTGATTCTGATGGAAAGTGTTCAGAAGATTGGTGGTATATGGACATTGGTTGTTCAAACCACTTGACTGGGAACAAACAATGGCTGATAGACTTTGACTTCAGAAGGAGAACAAAGATCAGATGTGTTAATGATAAGTATCTTAATGCAGAAGGTATGGGAAATGTCAGAGTCAGAGTGAAGAATGGAAAAAACATTCTAATAAAAGATGTTTGGTATGTTCCTGGAATCAAAAGCAATCTGATGAGTATGGGTCAGCTCATTGAGAAAGGGTTCGCAGTTGTTATAAAGGATAACCTCTTGAAGTTATATGATTCTAATCAGAAGTTGATTATAAAGTCTGAGAAGGGAAGTAACAGAATATTCAAGGTGAATGTAGAAACAGCTGAAGCAGAGTGTCTTAGTGCAGAAGGCGCTGCAGATGATAGTAAGTTGTGGCACAAGAGGTTGGGGCACTTTAACTATAGAAGCTTAGTGTGATCGGTGGAAATAGAACTGACTGTTTTTTAGCTGGTTTCGCGAAATGTCGCGGTAAGCAAGAGTCGCCACCGTCTTTTATGTTCTCCAACATGGAAAGGACAAAAGCACAGCAAAATTCCTTATTCGAGAATGTTTCTCGGTTCGGGAGGTAGATTTATAGAAAGGGAAGGTGTTAGCACCCTTTCTATCCGTGGTTATCCACGGGCTCTTAGGTACTTGCTCTTATGTTTTCAAAAATGTTTGCTTTTCAAATGTGTGTGGGTTTTGAAAAAAAGTTCGTTTGAAAACTTCTAGGTAACTCTTGTATCAGTCCTCAAGAGTGTATGAAGTATTGTTTGAAAACTTTTTGAAAGTGTAATGTGTGAAAAGTATTTTGTTTGTTTTTTAAAAGAGCAAGTACCCATGAGTCATCTACCTACCCTAAGGAATTAAGCTGTGTAAGAGTCCTTTAGATAGTGTTATCCCACCATTGAGAGGTAGGCAGCACCATCGTTGGAGGTATTCGGGTCAATTCGATTATCGGGACAGTGTGGTCACCGAAGCAATGGTAGGACACCTTAGAAGTACCCTAATGTCCTAGATCCTTTTTATCCGAGGCAACCGTTTCGAGACAACTGGATCTTTAGACAAAGGGCGACCTCTAAGACGTCCTATACTTGATGACCACGTTTCGAGGCAACGAGTGAAGCGTACCCTAGAAGTGGCATGTGCTTTGTGTGTTGTTTTTCAGTTAATTGTTTTTTGTACATGTTATTTGTGAGCTACAGATTAATTTTATTTACATACATTCTTTCATGCATTTAACAGTTAGGGGTGCGGAAATTAAATTGCGGAAAGATAAATTCTACGCTATTACAAGGCGTGGGTCTATACATCGCCAAAAATACAAAGACCCGTTTTGGTAAATAAGTACGAGAAATTAAATAAAGCGGTAAACCTATTTACTATTACATTCTTGAAAGCAATTACATAATAATCAAAATAAAATAAATGCGCGCGAATAAAAATTAATCGGGAATGCCTTAAGGGTTTTGACCCTTTTAAGAAAAGAAATGAATCTTTTTGTCTTTTTTGTGATTAAATGAGATTAAAACTAATTGTTAAACTAATTAGTTAATTTATTAAAAGAAAATATTTTTGTGTTTTTATATTTTTTAATGAAATAAAATAAAAGGAAATAAAATTAAAAGTTAATTAAAAACCTAATTCTAAACTTATTTTAATTATTAAGAAAAAAAGTTAAAGTTGCCTAATTAATAATTAATTCAATTTATTAGTATTCAATTACAAAAAATAAAATGAAATTAATAATAATAATAATAATGTTAGTTCTTTTTTGGATTTTTTTTTATAAAATATTAATTATGTTAGTAGTTAATAAAAAGGAATAAGAAATAAAATAAAATAAAAGAAAATGACAAAATAATAAAAATGGAGAGCAAACCCAAGGGGGGTATGGGCCAGAATGGGGGGGGGGGGTTTGATTGGAATTTGAGGCCCATCAAGAAGTCAGCTTTGTTTGACTTTCTGGAATCCAGTGCTTGTTAGTTGACTGGGCGCATGGTGAGGACCACCTCTTGGCCTTCAGATCTATGAGAGAGGCCACTTGGCGCTTGGATCTGTGAGGTGTATGGTGCTCAACGTTTGGGAATCTGCACAAGAACGCATTAGAAAAAATGACATTTGAATTATGGGGGACCTGGGAATCGAACCCAGGTCCCAAAGATCACCAAGTACATTGCCAACCACTACACCAATCCTGCGCGTTTGTTAGTAAAATGAGAACTAAACATTATATAAAAAGAATGCGTTATATGCTGGAAAATAAAAAAGAGCGCGCGTGATTTGAATTAACCAATCCCATGTTGCCACGCCCTTCGTCTTCAACCTTTTCCTGTAAAATAAAGAGCAAGTAGCGGGGGTTTTAAACCCCCACAAAATGCCAACGCCAAAAATAGCGATTAGGCACACATGTCAAATAAAAAAGGCGCGAGGTATGCTTTGGATTCGTCTCATCATGCTGATTTCAACCATGTATGTTTGGGGGCTTAATTTTGCAGTATAAGAAAAGCCCCAAATTAAAAGCCTTTGAACCCTAGCATACGTCCATGGTGGTTTTCATTTTAAGGCACTATACTCAAATTAAATCATGTCAAAAGCTTCAGTACAATGTTAGAAAGACAAAGCAATATTCAAAATATGTTAATGATGCGTGCAAAATGAATTTAGATTATAAAAAAAAATGATGAACTGTGTGACTGTGTAGCACGAGTTCTTGAGTGTGAGGGCTTGTTTGTGCTTGCAAAAGGTTCCTGGCAATGCTGGGAATGTGTTTGGATCAAAAGAAAGGTTTGAATCACGCTGGAATATGGATTTCAGTTTGTGATTTTTCTTCAAGTTTTTTTTGGATTTGCTTTGGCCGTTTGAGAGAGTTCTAGGTCGTGAATTGGATTGGAAA